TTGGGGGCCCAGCATGAACCTTCTATGTGAATATGAGGTGTTGTATCCTCTAAAACACATTGCAATGACTGAGTCTATAAAATGGGATTTCTCCCTTCACCCCTACGGAAACTAAATGTTTTTTCTGTCATTTTGGAAGGTATCTGCCCAGGGTATTCAGTCTACTCCATTAAACCTTGCAGTGAGCTGGCGGTGTGAACCTGCAAGCACTGACCTCCGCATCGACTACAAATACAATACAGAGGCAATGACCACCCCGGTAGCTCTAAACAACGTCCAGTTCCTCGTCCCTGTTGATGGAGGAGTAACCAAGCTGCAGGCTGTTCTCCCACCCGCTGTCTGGTAGGGATCACTGAGGCATCTCCCTGTGTGCTGAATCCAGCACCCAGCCCAGCACTGGCCCTTATACAAGGTGGGGTGGGCAGCCCAACTCTTCAATCCCAAATGATGTTTTCTTGCTTGGGTCCAACCCAAAGCCACATTCCCAAAATTGAAGGCCTGGAGCATGAGCTGCCCTGAGCATGTGGCTTTTGGCAATGTTTAGATGGGGTCCATGTAGCATCCTGCTTCCTACAGAAATGCTCTTCCTGGTGTGTTTGCAGGAATGCAGAGCAGCAGAGGATATTGTGGAAGATCCCTGATATCTCTCAGAAGTCAGAGAATGGAGGTAATCCTGTGAACATGCGTGCCTGTGGTGGTGGGTACTTAGAGCAGGTGTTGGTTCTTGTCTGCACACCAAGTCACAGAATGGCCAGGGTTGGAAGGGAGCTCAAGGATGATGAATCTCCAACCCCCTGCCACATGCAGGGCCACCAACCTCCTCATTTCACACCAGCCCAGGCTGCCCATCCAACCTGGCCTCGAACACCTCCAGGGACGGCGCACCCACAAATTACGGGTGCTTGCAGGGAAAGGATGCTATTTGGCACTGGGAGCAAAGAGCCTGGAAAATGCAGGGCATCACCAGGGCTGCTTTGCCAACCAGAGTTGGTGCTGCGGAAGGATGGGGCGGAAGCGCGGTGGGAGCGGGCACAGCGTTGGCTCTAACACTGACCGTGGCTGCTCTCCTGCAGGCGTGGGCTCGCTGCTGGCCCGCTTCCAGCTGGCGGAGGGACCCAGCTCCCCAGCCCCCCTGGCCGTGCAGTTCACCAGCGAGGGCAGCACGCTCTCCAGCTGTGACATTGAGCTCGTCGGTGCCGGCTACCGCTTCTCGCTCATCAAGAAGAGGTTCGCGGCAGGTAGGTGCCAACCCCTCCTGAAATGCTCTTTCCCATTTGTGGGACCCACACGGAGGCGGTGTCAGCTCTGCGTGGGGATGGAGGTGGCGAGGTGGAGGAGCCTGGCTGATATCTGGTCCCATTCCCAGGTAAATACTTGGCTGATAACTGAAGGAAACGCGTGGCAAATAACCAAGGACTACTGTGAGTGGAACGGGTTTTAATTACAGCTTAAGGAAAATGAACTAAATCCTGCACTTGGGACATTTCTGTTGGAAGTGTCGATGACTTTCAGATTTTTTCCTCAGAAAACACCGTCTTGACCAGTCCTACAGTATTTACTTCTAGATGTAACATTGTTAATGGTTTTAAAATGTAATTATTGTATTTGTAAATTGTACTCATTCCAGTAAGGCCGTATTTTGGAAGTTAGACACTTGAGTTTTAGCCTTTTACCATTCATGAAATGGATGTAATTTAAACTGTGGTATATAAATTTAATAGTAGTACTGTTGAATGGCACAATGCTTACAGAGGTAGATTACATTTTGTCAATATATACGATTTAAACACGGTGCGGATAGCTGTTATGGGGGGTGCCTCACCGAGGGAGCTCTTTTACTCCCCTCCTGCCCACAGTGTGTCTCGTGGCGGTGAATAAAGCTCTCCATCTTCAGGTTCGGCTGCTTGACGTGCAGAGCAGTGTTTCTGTGCGGGTGGAGCTCACAGTGGCACCGTGGTTTTGGGGATGCACTCCCAGAGCAGGCTCCGGATTTTTTGGTTGCGTTTCCACCATCCTTTGCTTGCTTCTTCTATTCGTTTCCTCCGCTTTCTGAAAGCCCCACAGGTTTAGGAAGTGCTGTAAGGGTGTGCAGCCCCACGCTTTTCCTTTTTATTGATTAGGCAGGGAAAAGTGATCTCTCTATACACAAATACTGAGAAATGAAGGCAGCCCGACCTGGCCCTGCCAAAAGCAGCAGCACTGGGAGCAGCGGTCTGTCTCATGGAGATGGGAAAGCTTTCAAGAGCTGTGCAGAGGTGGAGAGCTCATTTCATTGGGGAGAAAAGGAGAAGACAGCCATCCGTGCCCATCCTAAAGGAAAATAGGAATGTCTGGAGCTGCTTCAGCTCTGGGATGGCTCCTGGTTTGGGGTGTGTGTTGCAGGATGGGCGCTCTGTGTGCACGTTCATGCAAAGTGTGGATGCAGGAGGAAAGCACGACTCGGTTACCCAAATCCACACAGCTTTGCAGATTTGGAAGCAAACCCGCCAGCACTCCTGGATGGAGCGCTCTGCTCTGCCCTGCCCAGCTATTTGCTCCCCTCTGAAATGGAAATACGTACAAATGATGTGACCCACCCCTTCCTGATATAGGGCAGAATCTGAAGCTTCTGCCCCATCAGTTCATGCTGTGTACAATTGTTAGAAACTCATGCTTCCAGAGGACATCTATGCCATAGTCCCGAAAATAGGGATTTTATAGTGTAAATATGACCAGAACATAGATATTTTACTTTATATTTCATTTGAAAGACAAGCTGTTTACATTAGCATTGGGATTTTAAATGCTTTTTAAGGAAAAAAAGAGGAAAACCAAATAACCCAAAGCTCAGCCCAGCTCCCCTCTTCCCGGTGCCGCTCACTGCTGGGACCCAAACGGGTGCTGTGGGTCAGGTCCTTCTCATGGTGGTGCTGCCAATGCCTTGCACAGGGTTTGGGTTCATTCTTAGCTGCTGCTTCCCCATTGAACGCTCCTCCTCGGTTCTGCTGTAGGGCTGCTGTGCACTGTGCACTCATCCCTCAGCTCTGCTTCTTTACAAATCTTCATTTTGAAGCATACTGTGACCAAAATTGGTGGCATTCGAGGAGACACCCGAGGGCAGGGATGGGGCTCTGAGCACCTATGGGGCTGTGGGTGTCCCTGTTCATTGCAGGCAGTGGGACGAGGTGGCCATTGAGGGTCCCTTCCAGCTCAAACGATTCTATCTTTCTATGAACATCACTGCATCGTACTTTCCTTACAAGAAATTGCTGTCTTGAAGACTTCATTTCATCACCAGAATTATTCTTTTCTTCTTTCCTCTCACAAACTGACAAGGAAAGCAATCCCTGTCGAGCTGAGGACTCCTATGGCTGCAGTTGTTCTCATCCCTATTCCACTGCAAGGAGAGACAAAGCCCTGTAGGAACATCTGGGCTCTGGCAGCTTTAGCAGGTGCTTGGAGCACCTTATTGCTCTGTTAGACTCCTCTCTCTTGACATGTAGGAGGTCACTGTGGAAATGCCATGCTAGAATTCTGTCCATAACCCATGTAGGGATATCTGGAACCCACCCCTTTCTCCCAGCTCCAGCTCCAACCAGAGTGCTCTGGGGCTGATGAAGATGCCCAGGTGCTTTGGTAGTGTGTGCGCATCCAAAACAGAGTGGTGAATTGGGATGGGAATGGCATCAGGGCAGAGGGGGACGTGGGGCTGCTGAGCTCAGAGGGACCCCCAGCCTCCAATTGGGATCCCCAGGGCACGGCCCGACAGAAGCTCTATCGTTTTACGAAATCCCTCGTGTATAAAATGTTTATAAATATTTGTGGATGAAGATACACAGGTCTATTTTTAAGATTTAAGTTAAATAAGTTAACGAATGGCTGGCCTTTTTTGCCTCAACGTGCAATGGGATCTATTATACCTTTAGTCTCCGATGGCCTAGGTACTGCTTAGTCTGTGATGAAAACTTTGCTGCTCACCCAATGTTCTCAGAGAAAAGCTGTAAGAGGCGTACAGGTTTGTTGCACACGGACTACTGCAGCAAAGCTTTGTATTTGACCACTGGTAATATGAATGTGTTGTATTGACTTGTTGAAGATAATCATGAGACAACATATTTTAAATGTTACTTGCCTTATAGATTAGGATACGGATACGTGGATATCATTTTTGTAAATAATGTTTTTTATAAATGTCTTTCCTCCATTCTCCCCATCATCCATTCCACCAAATCTCGAATATGCAATTATTTACCACGCATAATATTGCAACAAATAAACCCCTACGTCAGAACGAAGTTTATTAATCCTAAACATGAGAACCACATGAAACACCCCCTTAAGTTGCAATTTAAATGTGATTTTTTTTTTCCCCCTCGAAAATAAACAGAACCCAGAAAACAGAGCTTTCTTTGTGTGTGTTTTGCTGTCGTGGGCAGGGGAATCATGGGGAGGGTAACAGGGGATCACGAGCTGCCATGTCTCTGTATCCCAAATGCTGCTGGGGCCATGCGATGCAACCCAGCTCAGGGATGGGGCTGCGACTGGGGTTGGCACGTAGAGAAATGTGGGGACCTGTGTGGGCCATGGGGACATCAAATCATTAAGCTTGAGAGAAAGGTCACTGAGATCATCTAGCCCAACCGACCCGTGGGGGCTGTGGGTCATCTAATGGGCTGCAGGGAGTCGTGGGGGCTGTGGGGGCATGCAGTGCTTGTGGGGATACATGGAGGCAATGGGGGCATGCAGTGCTTGTGGGGATACGTGGGGGCGATGGGAGCATCCAGGGGCTGTGGGGACCAGCGGGGGCTGTGCATACACACGAGGGCCACGGCTTCAAACACACGCAAGGGCTGGGAAGACCCTTGTAGGATCCACCACGGCCCCGTGCGGAACACGAAGACCGACCGACGTGGCCGCAGGGACAGATGGGGACCTGCGGGGGGGGGCGGGCTGCGGCTGCCGGCGGTGTCTGGGCGGCGCTGCCCTCCGTTTCCCCTCCGCCTCCCCTCCGCTGCTGCCGGGATGCGGCGCGTTGCGGGCTGCTCGCCGCTCTCCTCCCGTCGGCCCAGCGCCTCCCGGGCCGAGCAGCGCGGCGGGGCCGGCAGCCATCCCGCTGCGGGAAGGGGCCAGCGGTGCGGGGAGGGCGCGGGAGGCGTCGCGGCTCACTGTCCCCTCCCTCCAGGTCCCCCCAAGCGGTTCCCGGTGGCGACGGTGGACGCCATCCTGAAGGCCGTGCTGGAAGGCTGCCTGCGGGAGCTGCGCTACGAGCCGGGGCTGTGCCGGGAGATGGCCGCGACAGTCAGCGAGGTGCGCTGAGCCGTGGGGCCGCGGTCCTGCTGGGAGGACGGGGTCCCCCGGGCACGGCTGTGCGGTGTTGTGCTGCCTACGTTGGTGGAGAGGGGCAGGAGGTCGCCGCTTCGTGGCGGGGCGGTGGCACGTGTGTGTGAGCTCCGTGTGGGATGAAGGCGATGCTGCCCCTCCGCCGTGCCTGGGTTGGAAGGATGTCACGGATGTTCTTCACCCAGAGGCAGCTAGGCCCCAGCAATGCCCAGAGCTGCGGGTGTCCCATCCGCGGCCGTGGGTGGGCTCTGGGCAGCTGCAGCTGGGGGAGTCACCCAGCCCACACGTGGGGATTTGTGGCCTCTTCCAGCCCAGCCATGCTGGGGTTCTGTGGTTTTGTGCTGCTGTCCTGAGCCTTCAGCCTTACAGCTGGTTTGGCCCTGGAGCTCGGCAGCACAGGACAAGCAGAGCTGCCTGTCAGCATGAATGCCCACAGGGAAGTGTTCTCATCAAGAACACTGTGCCCACCTGCAGTGTCTTCTTGCTTAATGTCTGCCCTTGTGTTCCTGTAGTGAAGCAGTGCTCTTAGCAATGGAAGTGTTGGTTCTCATGCACTCACTGCCTCAGTGTTTCAAACACAACAATTTTGAACTGCTGCAGGGTGCCCAGAGAGGCAGTGATGCCCCAGCCCTGCAGACACCCAAGGTCAGGGATGGAGCTCTGAGTACTTAGTGGAGCTGTGGGTGTCCTGTTCATTGCAGGGAGTGGGACCAGATGGCCTTTAAGTGTCCCTTCCAACTCAAACTGTTCTATGATCGTCACCAGGACTGTCACAAGGGCTGAACAGTGCCATGCTGCACTTTCCATCCCAGAACAGCCCGTTGCTGAGCACCCCGTGTGCAGAGCTCAGCGGGTGAGTCCCAGCACAACCTCTCTCCTGCAGGTGATCAAAGCTCGGGTGAAGGACCTGGTGCTGCCGAGGTACAAAATCGTTGTGGTGACACACATTGGGCAGCTGAACGGGCAGGGCATGCAGATCGGCAGTAGGTGCCTGTGGGATCCCACCACGGATACGTTTTCATCTTATGTCTTCAAAAACACCTCGTTGTTCGCTCTTGCAAACGTCTATGCTGTCTATTTTGAATAGCGAGGTTGCTGCTTTTAGCAGCAGGAGAAATGAATTTCAGTCTGAGTCCACCTGTTGCTGAAAGCAGCAGTGAAGGACCAAGGCAACATTCACCCGCTTAGAAGCGTGGTTCCCCTGATCCATCATCGTATTCCCCAGGGCTTTCCCTGTGATCATTCCCTTTAGTGATTTTCTGTAGGATGCTATTTTGCACCTTTAGCTGCTTTCAGCACTGGGTGTCCCTGTAACACTTTTTCTCTTTGAATTTCCTGTGAGTGCATGATCCTTCAAGAAATCAGAGTGGTTTTTAGAAGGCAAAACAAATGCGTTCGGAACCAACCCACATGATGGGGCAGCTCAGCCTTGGCTCCATACAATCACTGCCCTGCTCATGCAGGGTCCCATGGTGTGGCCATGCAGAAGGCAGGGAGTTGTTCTTGGAGGTGGGTGGCTGTCCCATTATTTTCCAAATCAAGTGTTAAATGCCCTTAAACTAATCATGTTTGGATTATATTGATCTGACATATCTGGCCCCTTTTATTTAAGGTGCCTGAGTCAAGCAAAGAAAAAAAAAAGAAATTGTCTTTCTCAGCTGCTACCTCCCTATAGATAACAGGAGAAATGCATCTCTCTGAGCTCAGAAATGTATTCCCCATCTGTCCAGTTGCAAATTGTCTGCCCACTGGGCAGGATGTCAGGTAAATGGGAAATAAATCATGACTCCTCCTGCGTGTTTTGAGGGCAAACAGAGGGGTCACTGTGCTACCTGCTGCAGCAGTCCCCCTGCTGTGCTGCCCTGCACAGAGCCATGTGCTCGGTGCTGTTCTCATTCTGATACCAGCAGATGCTTGTTGCTACCCCTGTCTCACAGTTGATACCCAGGTCCAAAAGCCACTCTTGGATTTTTGTAGAATGCACACCGTAGCTTGCTGTGTTACAGCTTCTTATGTGCAAAGACAGGAGTTAGATGGGAGGAGATATTTGCACTCACTTCTAAGATTGCAATGCTAAAACACTGCGATACTTCGTAGAGTCCCAGCAAACCCACCCGAGTTGTCACTGCAGCTCCTACCACTCAGCCTTTGCCCCTCCACATACTTCAAAGAATAAAGGAATAAAAGAACCGTGCCTTATGTCATGATTGTTTTAATACCTTCAAGCAATGCCCTCCAACCTCCCCGGCAGCAGCTGCGTTAGCACAGCAGGCTGATGTCCCTCTCACTGCAGCCGACGCTGCAGCAGGACGTGGTGAGCAGTTTGGCCACCTCGCGCTTCTTGAGCACAGCCACCTTCCTGCCGCGCTGCACATCGCGCTCCTCCTGGCTTCTGCCCTCCTGGCTCTGCTCATCAACAGCCCCCAGCCCCTGTGCTGAGAATGGGGAGGGCTCCGAGGAACCGCCACTCTCCTGGGACGAGGACGGGGAGCTCTCGCTGCTCTCTGCTGTATGGAATTAGAAGCTGACGGTTACAAGTCGTGCATCTCAGCCTGATGCTGATCTATGTCCTTCGGAGGATAGAACTAGAACAGCTTGTGGTTTCCTGAAACACAGACATGCTAACAAATCCAGCACCCAGACTCCTGGATGTTCATGTATGGTACGCTTCTAATGATGTGCATTCAAAACATCACGGTGTATCTGGGCACAAACTCCTGGAGTTCATACAGCTACAGGGGCTGTCTGGCTTCATTCAGCAGCAGCAGTGCTTCCTGCTCTCTAGTAGCACACTGCATTGATGGCATTAGTTTTTCTGTTGAAAGCTGCTGCTACAACAATATTGTCCAAACAGGCAGATGTTATTGCATGGAAAATGTGGGAAGCCCCTGCTCCTGTCATCTGCCTCATCTACTTTTTTCTCTAGTTATTGTAATCAGAGTGCAGATCTCCAGCAGTGCATGCAATAGCTGAGTATGCAACAGCGTGGGAAGGTTATTGCAGATTACGTGTCTCACATTCTATATTCTTAATCCTAATATTCTCAAATTGTTCATATATTTTCTGGGTTAGAGTGGGAAAGAGGTGTGTGCTCCTTGAGCTGAACACATGGAACACATGCTAACTGCAGCAAGGCTGCTGTGTGACACGTCCATATCACAGCACAGGGCTGTCCTACCATAACCTTGGACCTAGCTCACAGTTCCTCACAATGACTTGCAGCACCTGGATCCATAGCTTTTCCATTCAGCAAAACAGCAAGTGGAGCTAAGAAAGCAAGCCGTGAGGAAACACAGATCACACATTCACATACATGAAGCCGTGCTGACTCAGGGTGCAGCCTGTGCTGCTGTGCTTGGGATGTACCTCCCAGCTCAGCACCTGCAGCTAATTTGCTCCTCCTGAGCCCCCTCACAGTCAGGCACACCCAGCACTGGGCTAAGCCTGTCATGCGTTAGTTGATAGCAGGGTGATGGGTAACGCATCAATTAGCACTTACCAAACAGGTATTGGTAATTAGCCAGATCCCTCTTCCACCTGGAGCCGCCGCAGGTGAAGACGATGGCTCTGACAAAGTCTCTCCCACAGAGCTTCACAGCGTTGCCCTCCCCTTCGGCTCTGTGCAGCACAGCCAGCAGGCAGAGCGCAGCCATGGCCAGCAGTGTGCTCTTCATTCTGGGTTTTGGGGCTGGAAGGGCAGCGAAGGAGTGCTGTGTGGGGCTGAGGTGGGGAATGCTGCTGGAAGCTCCCATTTATAGGGGCGGCCCATCCGCTCCACTGGGCAGCAGCTCGCTGCAGGGTGACCTCATGTTTGCCAGAACCAATTGTGTTTGTGGTGATGTTTTAAGTGCCTCGGGGGTTGGTTTGGGTGTTAAAGACATCTTAGGACCGTGTAACTGTTTTACAGTAGGAATACTTGTAGCATAACATGTTTATAGGAAATGGGCTTACATCGGTGCTGTTAATGCATATGTGCTGCAAAAATGTTTATTACGTGTTTTGTAGGTAATGGGTTTCATCTCCATGCATTTCCTTTGCAGCCCGTTGCCCAGTTGTGCCTGTTAGCACCGCGTAAGTGATGTGGGGCCTTGCTCTGCCTGTGATCCCAAATAAAGATGGGAATTGACTTCTTCCATGGGCACACTCAGTTGCACATCCCTGCTTCGTCCTCCTGCTGAGCATCCCCTCGTGCTGCTGGCAGCTGTGCATCATACTTCAGAGCAGGCTGAGGGCCAGGCAGCCCCTGTGCTGTGCAGGCAGAGCTGAGCAGAAGGGCACTGTGTGCTGAGCACGTGGGGCTTTGAGCACGGTGAGCTTGCTGTAGCAAGCTATGGAGATGCTGCTGTTGTTCCACACCTTGCATCCATAGCTATTTGCTTTGCAGTTGTCTACGGACAGAGGGCCTTACTCAAAAGACAGAGAAGAGGGGCAATGGCATTGGGAAAGCACAGATTAGCCAAGGATCAGCATCTTGCCAGCCTTTTCCTACTGATGAGTATCGGAAAGCCAGAGTGGAGCAGCTCTGGGACTAGAGGTCAGTGGATCAGTTGTGCTATCAGAGCATCCCAGCCCTGCTTGGATGTTGTTGGCTACTGTTGCTGTAAACTGATAAAAAAAAGTCCTGCAATAAAATGCCTCAAAGAGAAAATTGGGCAATTAGGAGGTCAGAAATTCCGTATTTAAGAACAAAATATATGATCGTTAGCACTTCCTAGCACCACAAGTGTTTTTCCAGCCCCATAATGTTACAGTTAATTAGTTTACATGATGTGCAGTGTGAGTTATGGTGTGCTACAGCCTTGAAAGCTCATTTTTTACCAGTAGCGTTGGTAAACAGTCATAACCAGTGGTAAAAAATACACAGCATGTTTTGATCAGGTTTGTAATAACGATTAACGTGTGATTCACCTTAATGGATGTCTTTCTTTGAAATGCACAGATTCGTTTTATGCCCACCCTGGAAAAGTAAGCTTGGATGTTGGTTGTAAAATGCACAGAATGCAGAGGAAAGTGCGTGGTAATGCATCCCAAATGATCTGTAACTTCAGTGATGTGTTTAAATTTGGGCATTTATTGTGAGGTTAATGAGAAAATCTGGATGTTCTGTGCATGTAAAATGTATGTCTAGCTACATAGTGCTTCCAGGAGCAGCTACTGCCTGCGTCTCCTGATGGGCAGAGCACTGCATGGAGCTCCTATGATGGGGGACCTCTTCTGTGGCTGTAACTTAGAAGAGCTGCAGGTTATGTCCTCAGCCTACCCATGTCTTTCAGTGGAGAGATCTCTAGAAGCAGAGATCTGCCTTCTAAAGCTGCAGAAGTCCATTTAAATTGTGTCGTTGTTCAAATTTGTCAGGTTGAAAAAGCTGGTCTCTAATTCTTCCTGGCTGGGGCAGTCTGCAGCTTGCAGGAGCACTCAGTGCTGTCAGAGCTCAGCTTTCAAACTCAGTTGTAGTTTAGGGAGGGCAGACAAGAAGGTCCTGATGAGAAGTCCATTCGTTTGCTGTATAATTTCACAGGGGGAGATATGGATGACAAACAGCCATATTCCAGGACTTAAGGTGGATTTAGGGCACATCCTGGTTCCTGATGAAGTAGCCAATAAAGGAGGTGATATGGGGCATTTCTGTTTTTTTGAGTAACCCAAGGAGAAAAACCTTTAATGGGGCCTTTCTATGACCTCATCTGTGCACTGGTGCAACACACTGATCATCCAACAAGGGGAACTTCCCGTGGAAAATTTCAAGCATTTCGAAGGTATCTCTAACCAGTAGGGTTTCAAATCTAAAAGTTAACAAATTAAAAGCACTAAACAGTTTGTGATAACGTTAGAAAAATCTTTCCTGCTGTTTACCAAGTGAGAAGTGCAATCATTTAGCTACTGGAAATAGAGCGGGACCGATTACATCATTCAAGGCATCAACCTGTAAAACAAGAGGTGAGAAAAAGAAACTCAGAAGTGATTTTAAGAATTATAGGCCCCATTTTACAAACTGGGAGTGCAAGGCCAGTAAGGCAAAGCTGAAAGGACCAAGTTCATCAGGCTCTGGAACCTTGTTTGGGGCTCCAGCTCATGCACAGATCCTGCAGGGGGGATCAATCTGCTTTTTCACTACCCAGAGTGGCACCACAGTTCTGTGCAATGGACCATGCAAGGAAGGCCCAGTGGAGCTTTGGTGTAAATCAGCACTGATTTATGCTTGCCATTGTTAGGTGGGACTAAAAGCTGACACAGGGGGCTCACAGCTGATTTCAGTCAGCTTCAGCACTGTTGCTGACTCAGTGTTTTTCAGTGGTAGGAGAGGAAGAGAACCTAGTTGAAATGCAATGAAATGGAGAGAGATACCTTTTACTTTTTCCTCTCCTGTCCCAGATGGCAACTCAAGAAGATTAGTAGTGGCTTCTGAAGCAGTGAGGGTAATACAGAACCACAATGCTGGTGGGTTTGCCGTTGAGCTGAGGCTATGGTGTTGGTGGCCAGGAGAGGGCATGTCGCTCCTACCTCGCCAGCAGGGAATGGCATCCTGCTGGTTCGTTGCCCTTGCGTTTGTGTGGGGCTGTGCCTCCCACCCTGGCCCTGTGCCCTCCCAGCTGCAGACGTGGGGAGCCTCTGAGTGTGCGGTCAGCTGAAACCTGAAGTTAGGAGTTGACTTACCTGTTCCTTCTGGTTCTTGATGTTTCTATCAGTATGGCATACAGAAAAGCAGAAATCATGTCAGTTCTTAATCTGGTCACCTACTTGTACCTGATCATGTCTACTAGCTAAATTTTCAACTAAGTTCTGTAACAGCAGCCCCTGTCTGGAGAAGTACCAGTGCAGGCTTTGAGGACCACTGCCTCTTCCCAGGGAGTCGTACCTCATTGCTGCTGCCAGCAGCCAGGTCCTGCAGCTCAAACACACTGACTTCTCCTCTGCTGTCTCCCACCAGAAGGCAGTCGGTGTTCTTAGCAAAGAGAACAGATGTGAATTTTGCTTCTGGGTCGGCAAAGCGAGTGATCACAGGGTCCAAGCTGCAAGTACATGTGTGAGTAATGATATAGGTAAAATTTGCCTGGAGTGTACTATTGCTTAAAGCCTGGGGGTAATACAGGCTTCAAAACGGCACATATTTTGCATGTTATTCTCTAGATTAATTCCAAAAGCAATAAGTGAGGCAGTGCATTGTTTTTCTATCAGAACAAAAATCCCAGCTGGAACTAAGCAGATATTCTGGTTGCCTAAAATCTGTCCTGTTGCCTGATATTGGGGGTGTGCTTCAGTATTTTTTTATAATATGACTGAATTGCTTTTTGCTGCCACAGTGCTTCCTGCTCCACTGCTTTCTTTATGCAGTCGTTATTAATAAACAGTCCAAACTGGCAGTAGTACCAGGCCGTGGGTTGACAAAGAGTAATGAGTACTGGAAAATGTAATATTTGTATCGATAGTTAAGCAAGCAGATGACATGGAGTTGTATGATCTGATGACAATGCTGATTAAGCAAAAATGTTAAGTCTCTGTGCTTTTAAATCCATTGTTTCAGAATTTTCTTTGAGACAATTAATTACTTACATGCTGATTCTAAGGTCCCAAATTTCTACTTTGCTTTCACTAGCTGCTGCAAATATGAAGGCTGATTTTGGAGACCACATAATGTCATGAACAACAGTAGTGGTGGAACTGAAAGTTAAAATGGGTGATTGCGAGTTCTGGTGCCATAAAATAACACTCCAGTCCACAGAGCAGCTCAGGAACGTGTCAGTGGTGAACGGATTCCAGGCAACTTTGTACACAGGGCCCTTGGTGTTTGGGAAGAAACAAAACAAGTTGGTGTTAGTCTAGAGCTACAACCTCATGAGATGGATTTTAGTAGTGCTCTCTTCTCACTGACCTTTCACGGAAATCCCTAACTGTCCTCTGACCTTAGTAGCAAAACCAGCACTGTTTTATAGGTACCCACGGGAAATTAGAATACAGTCAGTATGGTAAGGCAGGAGAGGAAGAAAGCATTCAGCTGACTGTCCCTTCCTGAGCTGATGCTGGAAGCACAGCTTCTTGGATGGAGCACAGGCTTGAAAAAAGGGAGGTGCTGTGCTACTGAAGTTCTGCTACCTCCCCCCCACACTCCCTGGAGATAAAGCTATTTAACTCTGGTTTCCAGGACAATCAGATTACTGGTTGTTCTCTTTAAATAATGCCAGAAGTAAAGCTTTAAAACAGTTTATACTAGAAGCTTTAATACATTACTTAAAAAAAATAATAATAATTGCTTCTAATGTAGAAAGTAATCCTGTAAGTAGATGATGCTTTTTGCTATGGGGACTCATTCCTAATGTAAGAAAAGAAGTTTAGGTTTCTTTTATTGCAAGTGTTTTGTTTAGGAAATAAAAGAAGCCATTATATTGGTGAAGTTAATTGAGTGCTGTTTCTGCTGTCATTACTTCTTTTGTGCATCGCTCACCTTATGTCCTCTGTATGTCTTTAGAAACTGCCTGTTGCATGAACGAGAACACTTGTGAATAAGACCCTCTTCTGTTCCAGCCAGATAAAGGTAAGTGTCCTGAAATAAAGGTAAAATAACCTAAGCTGGATTAACCTACCAATCACTTCTACAAAAGTATGGAAAGAACTGTGGGAGTTTGGGCACTGGTGGTGCTCCGGAGAGCTCAGGTGGAGTGGCAGGATGCTGTGGTTTGGGCTGCCTGTGTGTGTTGCAGAGATGGATATGCAGTGGGTCCAGCAGTGCCAGGATCAGATTTAGTGTGTGTGTTCTCCATCTGTGCAGAACAGAGGCTGCAATTTGTGATTCCTGAAAATCTTGTACTTTCTGTGACTTGCATGGGTGAATGCATGAATTTTTCAAATGCTCTATGGACAATTAAAGAAATCAGAGAAAGAAAATTAGGAGAGGCAGAGACATCAGAGTGCTAGACTCAGTAGATGTTCAACAGCTGAATTTCACCAGGTTTGACTGACACAGAGGAAAGCTGCCCTAGAATCTAGCCCAACCAAATGTGAGTAATGTGGCTGAAACAATATGGCTGTTCAGATACAGGGATCACAGAATCACAGAATCACAGAATGGCCAGGGTTGGAAGGGACCTCAAGGATCATGAATCTCCAACCCCCTGCCACATGCAGGGCCACCAACCATTCCACCTAATGCTAGACCAGGCTGCCCAGGGCCCCATCCAATCTGGCCTTGAACACCTCCAGGGACGGGGCATCCACAGCCTCTCTGGGCAGCTGTTCCAGCACCTCACCACTCTCTCCGTAAAGAATTTCCCCCTGACGTCCAACCTAAATCTCCCTTCCCTCAGCTTAAAACCATTTCCCCTTGTCCTGCTGTCACTCACCCTTTCAAAGAGTTGATTCCCCTCCTGTTTGTAGGCTCCCTTTAGGTACTGAAAGGCTGCAATGAGGTCACCCCGCAGCCTTTCTTTGTTTCAATATCACCCCTTTTGGATCAAACTGTTACTTGTTATGAAGCAATTTGTTTCAAAACCAAGTTGCCTTTAGATACCAGTGCCAAATCCCAGACTAGTGCATGTTAAGGTAGCTCCAAAGGACCTCTGGTGCATGGTTTCTCTGGATGGCACTTCAGCCAGGGTGGACTTGGTGAGCCTACCTTCGGATGGAAGTCAAAGCACATCCCAGCTGCCCACTGGGATATCAGTGCTTCACTTTTCCTTTCTTTCTCAGCTGGTAAGTTTTCCTTCTTGCTTCTTGTTCGCTTGATTTTCATCAGATCTGTGCAATTAGCAAGAGTTTTGGTCAAACAGGTATGAGTTGTTCATAGCACTGTCATACGCTTCAATGGAATTCTCAACGGCTCTTAAATGTTTTGTATATGATAACTATGTATCAAGATCATCACGTGAAATAGAAGAAGTAATTGTAATTTCAGGTATTAGCTCTGTGCAGGGGAAATGCTTACCAATGCAACCCAGTCCCTCCTGTATGAGCCACTG